AAACTAGGATGGAAATGAGGATCTTCCCTATTTCAAGTGTGGATTCAAAAGCTACACTAAAGATCAAGCAAAATTCTCTTTTACACCCAGCAAGAACTGCCGTTTGAGCCTCCTCTGAGCAGCGAGGAGTACGGCTTTTTTCTCTAACCTACATTTGCTATTCACCTCCAGATGTAAAACTGATGGGCTGGGCAGGTGAGTTACCAGAGAAATAAAAGTACTTCCTCAGTCACAAGATGTTCCATCACATTCAAACATGCAGTGTTTTAACTGTTTCCCCTGTGAAATATGAACCACAGACTTCTCACAGCACAGCACAGACAAGAGGACTAACACTCAAATGTTCTAGGGAAAGAGGAGAAAAAACATTTTCCTCAGCCAAAAATCAGAACCAGTGGTAACCTATGGGGCAAGTTATGTTGTGGAACAGTATTGTTTTCCTGCATTACTCACAAAGGATATTGTGTCAGGAAATAAAGCGTAAGTCATACGTTAAAGAACAACAATTTCAAGTATTTAAGATATTAACCAAAGTAGACTATCTTCTCCCCCTTTCGATTACGATATTGCAGACTTGCCACGATACTCTAAACTGAAACTGAAGGGACATTTTTATTCTAAGTCCAGATTTTTACTTCATGACAGCTTTTGCTTTTTAACCTAAAAATTATTTCATTCTTGGTACAATCAACTTATGCTAAGTAATTAAAAACCAATTGTGTTTAAACCTTTTGAGATAGTTGGTTTTATGCTGTATAACTCAGAGTTTGGTTTCTAAAACCTCAAATTTAGCATCTCAAGGAAGAATGGTATCTGTGGCATGTTTGAAAAAAATGTTTTGAAATGAAGTGATGGGCATTTAAAAATAGAATTCGGAGAGCGCACAGCTTCCCTCCCATCTTTTTCCCTGGAAGAGGAGAATGACACGTGTGCGTTACGCTACCAGCACATTGCTGCTGTGATTCCACTGAGCTCAGCATGGAGGGGGCTACAAAGACCACTCAGAATTACAGCGCAGCTACCACCAACACGCAGGCAGTTTCCAACTGACAAACTCAAGTTAGGAACAGAAAGGACCAGAACACCTCCCTAACTAACACCTTGCCAGCAAAGCCTTCCTTCCCTGCTCCCACCTGCACATCTCTGAACATTCTACTGTCTCCCTAACCGTCACAGACCCTGCCCAGCTGTCAAGGCTTCAATACAGCTCCGGTGTCCTCCCCCATGACCGCTCTTGGGGAGGCTTTGGCTAAATTTCAGATTTCAAGAACATTCAGGAATCAGAGGGACAGAGAGAATGTGGAACTTTGTGGGCTAGCCTTAAAGTCTAACATCCATTCATAACTTTTTTCCTTCTTAGAAAAGCTATGTGAAAATTCAAATAACTAACCTACAAATGAAACTTTGGAAGATAAAGCAATCCCTCACTGATTACAGTTTTCTTGAAAAGTACTATATTTGGCAAAACCATAATTCAGGTAATAGAATTAGAGGGGAGGATCACACAACAAGAATGCCTTTAAATATATCCTTAAACTTCAAAGTAAATAACTGTTCTGAAAATCAGCTGCTTCCAAAACAAACCAATATTATCACTGTAAGCTCTCATCATCTATAGGAGGAACTGTTTTCTTAGAACACCATTTTCAATGTTCGTGAAACACTACCACTGTGTCATGATCCAATTAAGCAGACACTTCCAAGTTTAGTCAAGAGGCACACAGCGTCTCCTTACAAATTCTTTGAATTAGCAGTGACAGGCTTCAAAGATACCACAGGAAGTAGTGAGTGGATGGGCCACCAGGTCCCCTTTCAAGGAAGAACTTGGTGCTCAGCTGTAGCGCTTGTGGCCAGCAGACAGCCTCCTGCTGTCGCCTCCCTCAGGCTCTGCCTCACCCGCAGAGAACCACCTCACTACACCTGGCGGTATGGCCTCCCCAGGAACTGAGCCAAGCAGGCCACACTCTGCTGAAGAGCTCCGCACCAGGTTGGCCAAGGCTTTGTCAGGCCCCCATCACAGGCAGACTCCTCCCTCGGCCCAATCCTTCGCTCCTCCTTCCTTTCCCAGGTGTCTACATCTAATAAACAACTTGTATCCCAAACTCTGTCTCAGTGTCCACTTCCAGAGAACACAAATCTGCAACACACGTCTTTTTCATTTGCATTTTCTCTTGCTCTATTTACCACAAATCTCAGGAAAATGCTTGTGTATACCCAACTTCTTGAACTATCATGAGCATGATTTCCAGAGTCTAGACTTCACTTTATTTAATGAAAGAAAGGAATATAAGTAGATTTCCCCCTGCATTATCCTACATGGTACATAGAAGAGGAATCAATTATTGTTGAGAAGTTCTTTTCTCTATGAAGATTAAACTATGCCTTGCCTATAAAACTATAAAATAGCATTCTTTCATGCATATATTCATTGGATACTATTCACTGTCAAGCACCTTCTACACACAAGGCACAAGTGAAAAAAGCTCCTGCTCTAGAGGAGTTTGCATTCTAGTGGTTGAGACAGACATTAAACAAATCAGAAATTAATACAACGCCATGGTGTGAATAAAAATAAAGCAGGGTGAGAGGACAGAGAATGACTGCAGAAGCATCTATTGTTTCTAACTCACAGGTAGAGAGGCAGTGCAGTAACCCATACATTGCCGGGTTGGCGCAGTCACATGTACATTTAGTACATCCATTTCCTAGATAGTATATGTCATTCTTGTTCCAGTGAAGAATTCATCACATTCAACTTTACTAAAATAACATTTCTTCTGCTTTGTGAGTCCACCTGCTGCATGATACACAAAATCTTAAATCTCTGTTACTAACCTATACAGCAATTCTGTCTGGGGAAAGAGCAGTCTGAGACATCATAAGCTATAGTCAGATCCAGCTGTCTCAGGCAGATGGCTTTGGTGGGCAACATCATAAACTTGCCAGATTTTTTAAAATATGAAAGGGGTTTCTGCTTCTTTAGTACTCCATGGCTGACCATCCACAAACACCTGGTGTTCAGACTTCCTCTTTGAAAATGCAACCATACAGAGTCTTAGTTCAAAAGGGTATATGTTATATAATCCTTGTCCAAAAGATCTAACACCTAGATAATTAAAAAGGCACAGTTGGGAGTAAACTCTTCCTTATTTAGCTTAATTGAGATGAAAAACTGAAATCAGGACCAACAGGGACTTAGAGTACCAGCAGATGCAGATGAAATTACTTTCCTCCCTCCCAATACTCAAACTACTTTGTCCAGAGGGAATCCCAGGCGGCCTGTACAGGCCTCTATTTACACCATCAATGTAAGAATGAATAACACTAATGACAGTTTCTTTCTGAGAATAACTGTGTATGCATCTTCACTTCTGTTTTTTTCCTCATACTTTAGGAGAACTTTGTCATCATCATCTTCAACACATACAGGAACACCAATCACACAGTGTTCTTGCTTAAGGCAGGAATCAAACCATACCTGTCCTGTTGAACAACTGTAATAAGATAAAGGGAAAAAAGCAATAGACTTGGGAGAAACTGAGTTCAAATTCAACTACTCTTAATTTATTAGCTTTTTAAAAGATTAACTTGGCCTAAGGTTATAAAATTCAGTTCTTGTATCTGTAAAATGGAGATTACGATGTCTACCCAAATACCTCAGGAGGTCAGTAAAGGATGCGTCTTAAAGTACTTTGAAAACTACAAAGTGATCTGCAAACGTATTGTTACAATGCAGTTTATTTGTTTGGATTTAAATGCTAACATTATTCTGATATAATTTCAACTGAGGAATAAAAAATACATTCATTAATTTAAGAAGTATTTATTCAGTATCTTCTGGTTACACTCTGGAGACTATAAGAAATGACAGTTATCCCTGTTATCAAGGAGCTTGTACAAATCAGATTGGAGGGGAAGTATGAGGGGGGAACGTGCTTTTGGTGTTTGCCAACAGTTACTGAGCACTTTCTATGTGCCAGACATTGTTATCAATGCTTTACACATAATAATCTTTATTTTTCCCTGGTTGGGAAACCTCCTTCTTTATTAACCATGCCTAAAATTTTCCTCGCTATTTTTGCATATCTTTTTTTTTCTATTGAGTTCATAATAGCTTACATCATTGTGAGATTTCAGTTGTACATGATTTCTTGACTGTCACCACATAAGTGCTCCCCTTCACCCTCTGTGTCCTCTCCCCACCCCCCTTCCCCTGGTAACCACTGAACTGTTTTCTTTGTCCATGTGTTTGTTTATATTCCATGTATGAGTGAAATCATCTGGTGTTTGTCTTTCTCAGTCTGGTTTATTTCGCTTAGCATAATTCCCTCTAGGTCCATCCATGTTGTTAAAAATGGGATGATTTTGTCTTTTTTTATGGCTGAGTAGTATTCTGGTGACTCTTTTAAGCTTTAAAAATCCTACGAAAAAGGGAGTATTTTTACCCTCACTCTTCAGATGAGGAAGATAAGGCACAAGAAGTTTGGAAACCTGGCCAAGGTCACATGCCTAGTAAGTATTAAAAGTATTCAGGTCAACTCATACACTCAGGCAAGTTAGCATCAACATTATATCATGTTATATTACATTTCAACTTGTGCAGAAATCATTAATAATAACTAATACTGACTAACAATACTAAGGCAGTAAATGATAAATGAAGAGATCATCTTGGGGTGGGGTAGCCAAGGAATTCTTCATGATATGAACCCAATAATATATGTCTTTTCATAATAAAAACTGACATAAGGCAAATAAATTATTCTGAATTTACTGTGTTGATTTTCCATGGTACAGACAGGAGGCTTCCCACTTGCCCCTCTGTATTGCTATATTTGCTATAATTATAACATTTTATATATAGAAAAAAATTTTGAGAGCTACTTTTCAAATGACACATAAAACAATGGCCAACAATGGTTTCTACTTGTTTTAATCTCCAACATCAGAACACATGTACTGACTGCTTGTTGGTCCTGTGTGTATCTCACATAACTTACCAAGCGATAGGTCTGGGCCTTCAAAACATTGAGATCAATAAAGTTTTCTTCATTGTCTGTCTCCTCTTCCTTAGGAAAATAAGAGAGTTTTAAAAGTTAATAATCATAAAAAGTTATCATTTAAAAAATGTATTTCCAGCTTTCACATACATAATATACTAAGCTCGATATAAAGACTAATGCAGGAAAGGGTATTTAACAGCCTAATATCCTGCATGAAGTAGGGCATAATATTATTAGCAGCTCATCTGCTTTTTTTGAGGTTTTGATGGTACCATTTAAAATACGTCCTTTTTCATAGGCACTGAAGAAAGAAGAAAAGAAAGAAGACAGAAGAGCGCCATGCTGTAGAACTAGGGATAAATAAACATAGGAACAGAACATTAAACAGTCCCAAGTGGCATATCTGAAAGAGACAGTGAAGGAGTTAATGGAAATTTTGAGAAATATGACTAAAATAGACAAAAATGAGAGGTTGACAGACACAGAATATTCTCACCTGCTCCAGGGACCAATCACATTAATGCATATTTTTGACATCTCATGTCTTACACATTCAAGGTTAATAAGTTAATAAGTCACCAGTACTTCTTGGCCCCTAAATCTATTTAAAGATATTAAAATATTAAGTCTATTTCAAGGTATGAAATATATATGTTTAAGATATTAACCTTGTATCTTAGATATTAACTATCTAAAAGCATAGTTCAGGTAGATTCTAAGCTGGTCTGACGAAGTGTTGGGGATGGAGTTAGAAGTAACCCTTTGAGAGGCAATCCCTCCCCTCATATACAGTAAGCACAGATTCTGAGCAGGTTCTATGAGCATGTAGGACAAAACAAACATGAGCTCCCCTTTCTCTTCAAATCTTTGTGGTGACAAGTGACATAGTACGTGAAACAAATTTACCTATATCCTAAGCTTAAGGGCATAGCAATAAAGCCAATGGAGCTTGGTCCTCAGGTCTTGTAAAGGGAAAAAAACCAGCTGAGTGTCGTCTGGTAGACACTTCCACGTGTAGAGTTGTAAAAAAACTGCAATGGTAGATTTCAAAGACAATCCTTATTTTCAAGAATTTACAAGTGTGTAAGACAGTGGTTCTCAATATGTGGTTCTGAGACCAGCAGCATCAGCATCACCCAAGAGCTTTTTAGAATACAAATACTAAGGCTCCTTCCCAGATCTACTCAGGAACTCTGGGGGTGGGGCCACTAAGGTAAGATACGAGAACTATGCTAATCTTTGGGCAACAGGAAAGATTTTAGTAAAATATGAACCAATATAAATGTAGATTCTACACATTCAAGTGGCATTTATTGATTTTGTTTGGGGGGGGCCAGTGGCATATAGCGGTGTAGACAAACTGATTTGTTTACATCTTAAATCTGAAGCATATATACTGATGCACACCCATGCAAAGCAGTTCAGTCTATTCTGTGTTTGCACTGACAATGGTCTACTTAACAACCTGAGTAAATGACTGAAATGCCAATGACAACGCCCCTGGGAGGAGAGACAAGTCTATAATGCCTTTACAATAAGCTAATCAGCACTGTTTACACAGGCGATCAATAAATGTGGGACTGTACTGAACTGAACACTAACAGGTAAACGGCTTTAATAGTAGATACCAGAAAAAGGGTTTTAACTTACTAAATATTATTAAGAGAGCATTCAAAAGGAATTCGAATATAAACAGACTTAGAAAAAATAGTTTTAAAATAAACTAAGAGGATTCTCATCTCAGTAATCTGGAAGACATTCAACAACTTCCTACCATTTCTTTGCCTAATATGCACCTTCTTCTTTTATGGCCAATTACTAAGGATGTGATTATACACAGCAGGTGAGAATACCTGTGTTGTGACCAAGACTTTTTTTTCCCTTTTTTTACAGTTATCAAAGTGTCCTATCTTGATTTGGCTAGTTTAAAACCAAAGCTTTCTAGCTTCTAGATGATTATAGCAGAACTTGACTCTGTCAGAAGTGATGTGCACCATCCTTGAGGCACCCCACAAACTCTGGCAACAAAGTGAAGTAATACCCCACCATTCAAAGGCTTTTGGGCACTGATTCAGTTCTCCATAGCAAGAGGAATGGGAGAAGGAAGAGAGGACTCCTTAGAATAGCATGACGACGATAACAAAGAGGGAAAGAAAACAATTCAAGAGACATGACACAAGGGAACTAATGCACTCAGAGGCAACCCTTCGAGGAAAGCCTTTGGTTTGGTCTTATGACAGGAGAAGGCCTCGACCTCACAGTTGGGAAGAAATGTGCAAAGAGGCTGCTTTCTAGTTTGTTTCTCTAATTTATACACCTAATAATGCCACTTTGAACTTTAAAGGGTTCTCAGAAAAAAAATCAGCTGTAATTTCTAAAAGTTACATAGCAATGTGATGACAGATGATTTTGTGGTCAAATATTTAATAACACCTACTATGCACCAGGCACTGCACAATAAACTGGAGATACCCAAAAAAGGGGCAAAAGTTGTTTCTGCCCTCATAGAGTTTTCTTTCTAATTACTAGGAGTTTTTTTTCACGTTTTTTTTTTTTTAAGATTGGCACCTGAGCTAACATCTGTTGCCAATCTTCTTTTCTTTTCTTCTCCCCAAAGCCCCCCAGTACATAGTTGTATATTCTAGTTGTGAGTGCCTCTGCTGGTGCTATATGGGATGCCACCTCAGCATGGCCTGATGAGCAGTGCCATGTCCGTGCCCAGGATCCAAACCCACGAAACCCTGGGCCATCAAAGTAGGGCGCACGAACTTGACCACTCAGCCACAGGGCCAGACCTCTGATTAGCAGGTTTTTGTACTTTTTTCTCCTGACTGGCAGTTTTGAGTTATATGTCTTTGAAGCTAAATGTTGATGCACTGGGACCAGGTATAGATTGATAAATTAGTAACTAATAAACAGTTACTAAGAAAAGATGAGGAAAATACTTGAGTGGAATAAATGAGGTGAACAATCAGGAATATGTGAGAACTTAAATTTTTCTGAACCTGAATAGAAACATCTATTACACCAAGAATAAAGTCTAAACTCTTTAAAATGCCCAAAATGATCTGGACCTGGCCTATCTTCCCAGCTAATCTTAAGCCTCCTGCCCCGTCACTCAGGAGATCTGGCCACAATGGTTTCCTCTCAGTTCCTTGATCATAGTAAGCTCCTTCCGCCTCAGCTTTCATACATGCACTACTACCAGGGTCTTGCCACATAATAGGTGCTCAGTAAACATTTTCAGAATGAATGAATATATTTCTACCTTAACTTTTAAAATTTATCACATTAAAAATAAAACTTTTAAACTAATTAGTTTTACAGTGGTCTTTTTCCTTCTGTAGATAGCAGAGTCATCTTTTTTTATATACATGCTTTAAGATATTTATACTGCTAATAAAATACATGCTAAAAACTTTGAAGATACAAAGCAGCATAGAAAAGAAAAATCACCCATAATCCTTCTATCCATATATTACTAATGTTAACATATTGATATTATTTTTCTTTTCTCCATATTTTACATAGTTGAGTTTATGCTTTAGTATAACTTATCATCCCTCTCTCACTAACATTTCTTTGTAAACAATTTTTAATGGCTACATAATATTCTACTATTGGGATACAGGCTAATTTATTTAATGGTTATTTTCAGCCTTCGTTATAAAACAATGCAATGATGAATATCTTTGTAGCATAGAGTAGTTTAATAAATTACCTTAAGCTGAAATATAGAATATATTTATTACCTATTGATTTCAAAAATCACCTAAAAAATTTAATTGGTTTATGACAATAAAATACACTATGAAGTTTTTTTTGCCAACACTTCAATTTCAGATCATATGTATACTTCCTAAAACACGAGGGTCAATCCACCTCTGGTCCTGAGAAAGAGCTGTTTGTCTCTAGCATTTCACTAGTCGAATCCCTTGTAGAGACTTGATTGTTTAGCTTCACACTATGGATAGGATGTTAAGAATGGGCAAAGGTTCAGATGCTGCCAAACAATTTAAATAATGTTGATATTTATAAGTATTTTTTAAAGTTCCTGCAGGGAAGTACTCATCCTAATTTTAGAAGCATGAAGAAGTTTCTGAGAAATAAATGGTGTTCTTATGAAGTAGAATGTACTAATCCCTAAATTTTAATGTTCTTTTCTAAATTCTTTATTATTTATGGCCTATTTAAGATCATGAATGGTTCTTAATAAAATGTTTACTCATATAACTAGTGGTCTACTACTTCCTGTCTACAGTTTAAGAACCTCTGCTAAAATTCCGACCTCAATTATTGGAGAACACGAGCATTAACATAACCAAAGATTTAAACAACTGATGCTTTGTACTCTATTTAAAAGCTTTTCTTCTCTAGAAACAATAAAATGTATCCCAGAAAATGGAAGTCTGGGGGAATTAAGAGAAGGGAAAGACATCAACAGGTGAAAACGAACAAAAAGTTCAGCAACACACATACCACAAATTCTTCATCCACTTTATTTAACGTTAATTCTGCATCATCTTCTGGAACAGTTTCTTCTTCTAATTCTTCCATTGGGTATGTTGGTCTAAAATAATAAGGCTTAATATGAGATAAGCGTTGAAAACAAAACAAAGCATTTTAGCAGGACAGAAAGCTATAATGTGAAAATTAAGGACCCCTTCTACATCAGATCTTGTCCTTTTCACCTCCTCCTTTCAAAACCATTGTTAAATGTTTCACGTATTCTTCCTGAAATCTTCCACGTAAAGAAGCAAAAACGTTTATCTCTAAATTTAAAAAATAAGTTTACACAAATGGGGTGATACCATGCATATTGTTATCCAACATACTTTCTTCGCTTACATTAGTAGATATTAATACCACATTTAAGTACATATACATCTTTCTTTTGCTTTACATACCTGCACTGTATTCCACTGAACAATGGTACCATAATTAAACTAGCAACTTGTTGAACTTTGAGGTTGTTTCTAGTTTTTTCACTAGACAATATTGCAAAGATCATCTCTATACATTTATCATTATGTATATCATTTAGAATAAATTTATGCAAGCAGAATGGCTGGTTCAACAACTTTGTATATTTTATTATTTTGCTAGATATTGCCAAAACCAGCTTCCAAAATGTTAGCCTAATTTACACTCCCAACAATAGTGACCCCATTTCCATACATTCACCAATATGGTATAAAAACTTTAAAATTTGCCAATCATCTAAGTGAAAAAATCTCATTCTTGTTTTAATTGCATTTCTTTCTCATGAGAGTGGTTGAATACCTTTTCATGTTTTAATTAGTTATTTGTGTTTCATTTTCAGTGAAAAGCCTATCTATGCCCTTTGTCCTTTGACTTTTTCTATATTAAGAAAGTTAATGCTTTGCCTAATCTGTGTTAAAAATATTTTGCCTAGTTTATTACCTATAATCTTGGCTATTCAGGACTGTTACAATTCTTCTTACACAGACTTGGCAACTGTTTTGCACGGATCCTAGCTTTAACATCACGTATATAAGGCTTTCTCTCACACCACACATCCCACATCCCTTTGGTCTTTTAGTACGGCTCTAGTTTCATTTTGCACATGTACTTCTTCGATCAATCTGAAGTTAATTTTGATATAGGTAATAAGAAGGGCTCTAGCTTTATTCTCATTTCCAAAATCTAATTAGTAGTCCCAACACTTAGTATTGAACAACCATTTCTCCATCAAGATTAATGACATGTATTTCCCATATTAAAAAAAACTTAAAAGTTTTTGGATTTATTTCTGGAAACTTATTTTAAAAACCAATACCTCTGACAAGTTAACAAAATACAAAAATCAACATTTAATATTAAGGAAGGAAAGTACTGTGAACCAAATCAATCTTCTTAAAGAATAAATTTCCTAATTTTCATTAATTAGAATTAGATTATCTCTCAAAAATGCTCTAGGATTGTTTTGGTATATTTAGGTATATAAAATAATCGTCTGTAAAGAGGTAATGTCTACGCCATTTATAAATGACATAGCTGACATATGCTCTAAGGCCTATTACTTTTCAATGCTTTCCCCTTGTTCTTCCCCATGTATACACAGTCCTTATAAATTATCCACCTCACAATACATGGCCAAGAATAAGACAGGCCCAGAAGCAAAGGAAGTACAAAATCGAACAATGGTTGAAATACTAATAGCTTCTATTAGCTACTAATAGGTGAATTTAGAATACACTGGGCAACAGATTTAGTAATTTTAAAAACTGTCCAATGGAGCAGCACATCTCATAACTTATCTTTTCTTAGAATCTAGTAAAGAAGTATTAGTACTGTTTGGGTTGAAGCAATGAAATTGCCTTTTTTTAGTTCAAAAACAGATGAATATTAGTAATTTCATACAGTTCAACCTAAGCCAAGTGGATTTTTAAAAGTACTTATTAATAGGGAATAGATTATTTACCTGAGAGAATGTAATTAAATATACATTAAAATATTAACAGGAAACAATATGTACCCCTTTCTACAGAAGTTAGTTCTAAATTAAAAATCAATGCTTATATTTTACCTGAATAATACCTTCCACAATCTCTGACCTACCAATAATTCCAATTGTCAAAGGACCAAATTTATGTATTTTCTAATTATAACGTATATAAATTGACAGTTTCTGAATATTTTATTCCCTCATCCATGCAGTCAACATTTATTGAGCATCTATGATATACCAAGAACTATGCTAATTGCCACAGAGTACATACGAAGATTTCATAATCTCTAGCAAAAAAGCCAGACCTGTAAACAAATGATTTAAATACCATGGGATAAATATGATAATAGAAGCACAAATGAGGCACTGTCAGGTCAGAGACAGAAGCAATGACCAACGTCCAAGACAGCGTCAGGTGGCTTCTTCAGCATTATTCTCACCCCAGTCCCTATAAGCAAAGGAGAAAATCCTATTTAAAGTACTACATTAATTCCCATTTTTTCCTTAAATCTGCAGCTATCAGTCACCTCCACGTATATATTATGCTTGTGTACGTAAATAAATACATGCAAAGAGATTTTTTTTTTAAATTCCCTAAATTGACAAAGATATATAGTTACAGTTAAACTTTCAAGAATTATATATTTGAACTGGGAAGGGGCACAATAATATCTAACACATTACTTCAGAAATGGTTTTGAAGACACGAGATATTTCAGTTTTGTCTAAGCTGACCTTTTTTAATCACCTGTGGCATTTTCAGTTTTGAACAATCAAGAGAAAATACTTCTTATCAGTTCAGTTAAATAGCTCCGAACCCTCAGAGGAAAAAGCTATGCACATACAAGTCCTATTACTAGGGTGGCTGAGCGTTACCTTTTCCAGGTGAAACCAATATATTTTAACGCTTCTTCAGCTAAACAGTCAAGAACATAGCACACATGCTCTCCATAACCTGATTTTAATTTTGAAGGAGGAAAATCTGCAGTTCTCCCCTGAAATACAGAAGATAAATAGGATATTATTTATTATTTATGTTCCAAATGTCAAAACATTTCAAGCAAAGTACTGCTGAATAAACGTATTACTTCTCTATTTTTCAAATATGATATAAAATAACTGTAATTACATTGCTTCTTAGAAATCCATCTCTTTAGTCTTTTTTTAATCCATTGATACATAAGAAACCAAAGGAAAATAAAGATGTTTTATTGTCAAAGCAGCAAATTAAAAGGCAATAACTTCATGACAGCAGAACAAGTCACTGATCTTGTTAGGGTGAAAAATCAGTAACGACTAGCTTGGTATCATATCATTAAACAACCACATGAAGGACAGAGTGACTCACTTGTCAAAAATTAATAACGTGTGCCAAAAATTCTTCCCTCCTGTCCCCAGGAAAAGTCAAAAATGAAAAGTACAACTACTCTCATGGTCTGTTAAATCAAAGTTCCCTTTCAAAATACAGTGTTTCAGCCTCCTAGTTTTTTATCACTTTTTAGAAGGAGAACTAAGCACGCATAAATTTACTTCTGAGACACATCAAGATTAAGAAGATATTATTACTCTGGGCTATAAAGAGTGTATCTTGACCATTTTTATAAGTGGCAATAATAACATCAACCATTGTGAGAGAGTTTTACTCGGAACTGAATCCAGGTATAATTTTATATATCTATGTATGCGTGTATATATATTTAATTATATATAATAAATTAATATATATAGTTTTCACAGTGGATTATCTAAAAGGTTAGTATTTACGTTGCTGAATTACCAATATTGAAATTCATAACTTGAGAACATGCAGAAAGAAGAGAGTTCTTTACACTTACAAATAATCGAAGCTCAGATAATATGTTAGATATTGTTGCATTAGGGTCATCATATTCTTGAGGCTGCTCAAAGGGACGCCCTGCTTTGTTAATCAGCCAAGCAGCAAGAGTGCAAAACATGTAGAACTGTTCACCAGGGTTGGTAGGCAGTGCAAAATAGTGTCTATTTCAAAACAAGGGGGAAGGGAGGAATACAAAATATGAAAGATTGCAGATAAGTCTACAGTAACTAAAGAAGCCAAGTCCAAAATGACCATAGGACTTTTTTTTTTAATGGTCTTACAATCAAAAGGCGTTGATAATTTACTCTAAAGTTTCTAGTAATCCACAATACTCATATTAAAGTTTTTAATCAACTTTAGATTAGGGCAATTGCTACTGTACACAAAATATTAGATCAAAGACTTTACACCCACAGGATGCAGCGCATGTTAAAAAACAGCTTGTAGAACTTTTGCCAAAACCATTTGCAAGGAATAATTAATAAGAGAGTATCTCCTGAAAATGGTAATTTGGAATTAAGAGAATCTCAGAGTTTAAAAAAAGACCTTAATGATTATTCAGTATGCATTTTTACAATGTCACTGGTATGTTATCGGCTCAAACCTATCAGCCATGTTAAACAGGTTTTCTCAACTGGCTGCACATTTGAATCACCTGAAGAACTTGTAAAACCATTGCTACTGGGTCAAACATTGCTTCTTCCCTCGTGGGTTAAATCAGCACTTCTGGGAGGGAAGCCCCAGAATGGGTATGTTTCAAAAGCTTCCCAGTTGGTTCTAAGGTGCAGCCAGGCTTAAGGAGCCCTGTGTCTCAAACCCCCAGTCTAACAAACATTTGTTGACCTTTGCTAAATTACCTAGCCTACTAAAAACAGTCCTGTGAGGATCAACATGATTTATACCTAAACATGTTAGGAATAAAACCTGATAGCAACAACACTCAAGTCAGTTTCATCAAAGATCTTATTCTGCTTTTTTACGTATAGCTATAACTATTATGTTTATAATGTATTTATAGCTATTATAACTATTCTTCATAAGAATCAGCAGTCTACTCCACGTTTCTCAAACTTTTTCCGGCAGGATAAGTGTAAATGTTCTGAAAGATAACAGAAAGCTAGGGAGAAAAAAGGCCATGAAGTCCTTCCAGGTATATGCTTACAACCTTTTCAAAACACCCAACACTAACAACTCATCTTTTCCTTATCAGGTGATAACTCCTGGACAGAGGAATGGACACTGACAGATACTGCAGACCTAGGACAGCAGTTCTTAAACCATAGGATGCATCAGAATCACTTGGAAGGCTTGTTAAAATGCACACTTCCAGGCCCCAGCCCTAGAATTTCTGATACAGCAGGCCTGGGAACGGATCTGTGGAACTGCGTTTCTAAGGCCCCAAGTGATGCTGATGCTGCTGGTCTGGTGACTAAACTTTGAGAACCACTGGCAAACATCTTGCTGAACTCCTGAAACAGGAAATAATACAGAGGTGATATTAATAAAACCCTAAGGCCATTTTCCTTTTAGTTTGAAAAATACATTTGGGAAAAAAATGTAGTTTTATTAACATAGAAAATGTTGGTTGTCTGTATTATCCCGATCAATTCATTTAAGTAATAACTCCCAATCCTACAATTTCTATCACGGACCAAACAACACTACTTTTTCCTCTAACTTTTCTCCTACTATGGACTGATTTACCAATACGGACAGTTTACAGAAAGCCTACACATCTTACAATTCAAGTTACTGGAAGAGAGCAAGGAATGAGATCAGTACCGCCATGGGAAATTCTTTGAGCCTAGCCACAGCCATTAAGAGAAAGTACTACAGATTCTTAATCTAAATTACTTCTTACAAAATAAAATAAACGTAAGTATTAACATGAAGGAAAAGCTATAAAGCTTATTTATCTGGCTATCACTACGCTACACTGAGTGGAGGAGAAAGCTCTGGCTGTCTGTTACCCTCAGCAACTCACGGCATTGCCTTCAGGATACAATGGACTTTTCCCCACCAGAACAAGGGCAGAACTTTAGGTTCTGTGATAAAACGACAATTCCAGTAGCTGTCATTTCATTTGTCTCTTCCACTTAGTTTCTGAGAGTACCGTTAGTGCAAAGGCAGAAGTCTTTTAAACCATAGCAAAGAGCCAACAAGTGTGCTAACTGTACGTGCAGAGCTCGACAAGGTCCTAGGTACCCAGGTTGCCAGCTCCAGCGACAGGTCCTCTCAGAGGAAAACAAACTCTAGAGACAGATCTAAATGATAATGGCATCATCTCTCAGGATGAGATTATGGGTGATTTTAGTATTTTTCTACACACTTTCTGGTGTTTTTCTGAGTTTTCTACAAGTACTTTTATTACTTTTATAATCAGAAAAAACACAGTTTGTGTTTTGCAGAGATGCGCGTGTGCTTTAAAGAGTAGGTAACCTCTCTTCCGGTCCTTTCTGCCGTTCCAGAACTTGTTTACTCCCTACAAAAACACCAAGTCTAAACTCCGCGGGCTCCGTCGCCAGGTCTGGAGCGAAGCGCCCTTTCCTGCCTAGGAAGATGGAGGCGAGCGCTTGCTAACCCGTTGGCGCTCCCCAGAAGGCCGGAGGAGGGCATCTCCCCGGGGCCCGGCCCGCACCCGGGCGCCGGGGGACGAGGGCACCCACCTGGACGGGGGCTTCAGGTTGTTCTTCCGGAGGAGCTCCTCCTCATAGCGGAGCAGCTTCAGCTTCTCCACCAGGTCCTCCATCACCACGAACATGTGGTAGGCCGCGCCGGGCCCCCGTTCCACGACCACCTCCCCCGCCCCATCGCCCCGGGACCGAGACACCCCATCCTCCAAACCCGAAGGCGTCACCACCGCCGCGGCGGCCGCCATCGCAGCACAGGCAGAAAGGGCCCGGCGTGGGCTCCGGCCCACAGACCTCGGCGGCCTCCGCCGCCCGCGCCCCAGCAGCCGGGACCGCCGCGACCGGTTACCAGGCGACCGCCGGGCAGCCCGTCACCACGGAAACTAGACTCCGCCTCCTTCCCGCCCGGGGCTCTTCTAAATTCCTTCCAACCAGGGCGGGCTTCCTGCATGACGTCACCTCGGGCCCCGCCCCTTCCCCTGCCTCTGGGTAGGAGGTGGCTAGGAGGCGGCTCCGCCCCCCGTGGGGGCGTGGCGTCCCGCGCCCCACGTCGGCCGCGCCTCCTCCCGCTGCCACTTACAGGCGGAGCAGGGGCGGTGAGAGTTTCCGCCGGGGTCACCCGCCAACCCTTTGCGGGTGTGGGGCGGGGGTGTGGCGTAGTGGTCACCTAGGGCGTCCGAGTGAGTGGCGGTTAGAAGGAGAGAGAGGGAGACGTGCAGTATTGAAGGCTCTGCTAGCCCGTTGATACCTCCTTTATTTTTCCTCTCAAAATTCAAAGTTCTCACAGTTGCAAAGAGTGGAAATCGTAGGTTTCCCTTTAGCTCAGGAACTTTCCAGTGAGAGGCTTTTTTTTCTTAAACATGATCTTTGTCTCATTAGGGAACAGTGTATTTGATTTAACAGTGTTTTATAAGGCTTGAAGTATTAGAGTGCCCACTGTTACTCCAGCGCCAGGAGAGGGGTTGTCGGTTGGGAGGGTCTGGGGGAGGAGAAAGGCGGCGGAGGAGCAAAAAGAAGGCGTCGGGGAGGGTTGGTTCCACCCCAGGAACAAGATCCTGATGCTTAACGCATCTGATGCTTCATCTGTTTCAAGTCCATTACGTGTAGTTTTGGGGTTCCCTGTTAAAACCAACATAATAGAAGAGATAATCTTGAAAGGAATTTCCTTATAGCTCTACTGTCCGCTGCAGCTACTGATTTAGAAAATACAAGAAAGGGGACAGAACTGACCACAGCTTTACAGTTCTCAAAAAGGGCTTGTGTATCAAGCAGTTTTCCCAACAGCTAGATAGAAAATGAGGTGAGTGTCAGGGAGAAGCAAATTCATGGGGAGAGGTTGCACGTGGGTTTGTGTTTATAATGTGGTTCTTGAGGGATCTCTGATCTCTTCTGTCTGCTGCTGGAGAATATAGAAGTCACATCTTTTGACATAACCGACGTTTGAAATTTATCTGTAATATCTTTTGGGTTTTGTTAGAAAAATGGGCAGAAGATGACTTTTTATTTTATTATCAATCTAGACCTAACTTGTTCCTGATACTAATAAAAGTGTCGAAAGATCAGAAAGGCAAATGCCTGTTTCTATTTACTAAAGGAAGGAAATAGGTGAAGTAACTGATTTATGTGGGAAATAACCTAAAGGAGAAGGCCCCTGAGAACTGTTTTTTAAATTAGTAACATTGTCTGCCTGCTGCAAGTCATAACCAGCTACTTTTAATAAAGATGAGTTGGAAAACTAGATTTGACTCTACCCCACTGCCAAATTGGTCTTCTTCTTTGCCGCCTTAGAGCAGTGTTTCTCCCCCATGCATCCCCACCCCAAACCAGTACACGTGTGGGTGAGGGATGTTGAACATCTGTATAACTTTCTGAGTACAAGATAGATGTATAACTTTAAAAAAAAAAAAAAGCTGAGATACATGCTTTGGGGTGCTTGGTTAATCAGCAAGCAACCTGTGGCTTTTTAAATGACTCAAAAAAGTGTCAGACTTTGCAGGTACATTGGATACACCCAGGGAGATAGATGTTATCTCAAGGCATGCCGCCTGCATAAGACATTCAGACATTTTCAGAAAGTTATATAGCACTCAGATGAAATAGTCAAACATTGCCTTTTGGCTGGAGAGAAACCCTCCAACGACTTATGTATTTTGGCTGGTGGAAAAACCCACCTGTCCCAGAACCTAGCCATTTCCTTCCCAGGCACAATGCTGGTGCAGCCTGGCTTGAAAGCAGTATCAGGAATTATTTTTCCCCTTAATTGTTGTGAAGAAGAAAAAAAAAACTGAACTATAAAGTGTCCCCTGTTAATTGTGGCACAGAAACAGTGAAAGAAAAAAAGGAAAAGCCAGGGGCTGGCCCTGTGGCCGAGTGGTTAAGTTCGCGCGCTCTGCTGCAGGTGGCCCAGTGTTTCGTTAGTTCGAATCCTGGGCGCGGACATGGCACTGCTCATCAGACCACGCTGAGGCAGCGTCCCACATGCCACAACTAGAAGAACCCACAACGAAGAATACACAACTATGTACTGGGGGGCTTTGGGGAGGAAAAGGAAAAAATAAAATCTTTAAAAAAAAAAAAAAAGGAAAAGCCAGCTGTTCAACATTGCATCTTTTCCCACAGAAAAAAAAGGTGGGAAAGCATACTGAAATGTCATATCGTTTTTAAAAGGCCCATGGATTATTTTTGCTGAATCTTTGTTTACCCATAATAGTTGATGACACTTCAAGAGGGCTTTTCCCCAATGGAAGTAGGATCCTTCACATATGTGACAATGCACATTCAATCCTCTTCCAGCCGTCTCAGCCACCTAGAAGCTTTGGGGTACATTTGTTTCAGTTTTTTGCAAGACTAGCTCATTCATTGACTAAGGAGTTAGTTAGAGATTGAAGAGAATGGAATGTTGATATATGTTCAAAATTCCTTTAAAGAATCTTAAGAGAGGTTTATCCCTGGCTCTACAGTATTGACCACAATTAATAGCTGGGCTTCTGACTTTGACTTTTATCTCTTGTAAGCTATCTGTGAAATGAGCAGAGGTCATTTTTAAGGCCCTTCAGGTGTTTCTGTGAATGGGCTAATCTCTGAGAACTGAACAGTATCACAATCGAAGCTGATTTAAGTTAAATGGATTTCTCTGGAAGGTGCTTAGCAAGGCTAGGCATGAAAGGAGCTAGGGGTGAAAAGGAGGCAGGTTCAAAGATGGAGGAAGGCTTTCCAGAAGCATCTCCAAATATAAAAACAAGTCCTCCAAGAAGACTAGACAGGCTTAAAGAAAAAAGCTGTTTTGTGTTATACATGGCTTACTACCACCCATTTGGAATGTTAAAAACTTAGAAAACCACTAATTGAATAAAACTTCCTTAACCTAATAAAAATTGTTTGCTGAAAATCTAGACAGGAAAGTCATATTTAAATGTGAAGCATTAGAGGCAATGCCTTTTACAGCCAAGAACAAGGTGAAGACATCCACTCTTCAAAACCGCACTAGATAGTTGAAATTTATGTAATGTTATAAACCGGTGTTAGCTCAACGAAAATAAAAAAAGAAAAGTAGAGATATCTCACAAAGGTAGAATAGAGAGAAAGAGAGAAGGCTAAAAGATGACTGAAGTTTGGCATTAATAGGGGAGGTGAGATGGGAACAATTTTGAGGGCAGGTAGGGTTGGTGTTAGACTCACTGGTTTGGAAGTGGTGGGAGGCCATCTGACTTGAGACTGTGGCAAATGTGGAACTCAAGGAGAGGCTAGGCAGCAGAGAGAAATTTGGGAAATATCTGCAAAGAGATCTTTGAAGAATTGGATGAAATACCTGAGTTATTCATATGGATATGGAGTTTTGCCAAGTTTTGGAAATATTAAATATGTGACAATAATGACAAAACTGTGCTAGAGATGAGAGGGCAGAGACTGAAAAAAAGGATTGCAGACAAACGATTGTGGGTGATATGATTAAGTAAAAAATTCAAGAGAATCTAAAGAAAAGCTATTAAGACAGCTCAATAAGTTAGCCGTATGTGAGATCCAAACTAAAGAAAAGTTACTGGAAAAACAAAAATCTCAATAACAAGCCATATATAGCACTAGGAATAAGTATAGCATTATCTTTATGGAGAAATTGTAAATTTTACTGAAAGTCATAGAAAAATACAAATAGGGTTACAGTGTTCATGAATGAGAAGAATCAGTTATCTTTGCTCAATCTATAAATTCAGTGCAATTTCAACTAAAATTCCAAGAGGGCTGACCTGAAATTCATACCTAAGAGTAAATTTTAAGGAAGCATGAGCTACATTGAGAACAGTGTTCTATCAGTGAATGAAAATTTTACTCATTCTGTAATGCATGTAGAGAAGTGTTTAAGAACACTTGTAATAAAGATGATTCAAAACACTATTTGCTTGTTACCTTGAGAACAGTGTTTTATCAATGATTGGAAGTTATACGCATTCTGTAATGCATTTAGAGAAGTGTTTAAGAACACTTGTAATAAAGATGTTTCTAAGAAAAAAGTATGAGGAAAGAATCATGATATCAGATCAGTAAGATTCTTAATAAAGGTGTAACATAAAATAATGGCATCACAGGAATAAATAGAAAATAAGCTGGAAACAGGTGAGAGTTTGTATGGAAATTCAGAAAAAGTTGGTGTTACCAGTTAGTGGAGAAAGATGAACTATTCAATAAATGCTATTGAAGCTGTAGTTTTTCCATATGGAAACAAAATTACATCTCTAAATTCCAACACATAAAATCGAGAAAGATTGAAGACAAAAATGTGAAATACTTGTAGAATGTTTAGAAGAAAACAGAGTATTTTTAATCTCAATGGTGGAAAGGAGTTCTTGAAGGAAATAAAGAACAAATTTTAAAGAAAAGAGAAAACCATCAAAATTTAAGAACTTAAATACAAAAGAGGACTCTATAAACAGTGAAGAAAGAAGATATTTGTGACTGATATAATGTCAGTAGATTAGTCGCCAGGATACATAAAGGTAATAGATCATCATTGCAAGGCCTTGATGCCGTGTTGGAGGAGTTTAGATGTGTTCTTCTAGGTCAAGATTTCTTGGCCTCAGCACTATTGACATTTTAGGCTGGGTAATTCTTTGTTGTTGGGAACTGTTCTGTTCATTGTAGGATGTTTACCAGTATCCATGGCCTCTACCCACTGGATGCCAATAGTACCCACCCATAGTTGCAACAATGAAAAATGTCTCCAAACATTGTTAACTGGCCCCTGGAAGGTGAACCACCCCTAGTTGAGAACCACTGCTCTAGATGCGTGGATTGAAATTACAAATGCCTTTATAAAGACCAGGAATGTAAACGAGCAGGGGTGTGTGTGTGTGTGT